GTGTAGAGTAGGCATCACAGTATGTTAAGGGGCGTAACATTTCCATCACATGCTTGAGGCATTCGGCCAATAACAACGCACTGGATAACTGGCCAATCAGAGCACACCTGGCTTTTTTAGAACGATGAGCTTTGTAAAAATCGACGCGTTTCAGAAAGGCGGGGCATAGAGGAGAAACAATAATGTACAGTATGTGGAAAATAATGTTTTTTTAACCTTAAACCACATAAACACATTGCATTACACCAAATACACAAAATAATGTTATTTTTAGCAACGTCATATGACCCCTTTAATGCTACTGAAGTATTGCTACAAGCCTGAAATATAGTATATAAGATAAAAACCAACAGCTTATAAATAAATAAATAAAATACTGCCACTACTATTCTTCTAACAGTGTGGTTCCCTATAGCTTATGTGATTTAACTATAGTAGCGTAGTAGCTAGGCCAAGCTGAGAGCTGCAGTCATTAATTATATTAAAAAAATCACAATCACATTAACCTTAATTTCACAATGAAATCAGATTCACTGATTTAGAGGTTACACTGTAAAAACTATGACTTGGTTTGGCCATAACTTTAAGATCTGTGAATTAACAGAGAGTTTACTGAAGCCTCTAATGTTGAAGCCTCCTCCATGGAATCCATCAGAAACACATTTCTGCAGAATGTGAGTATGGCACGGTGGTGAGGGATAGTGAGAACCCAGACAAACTCTCCAATAACCCCGGTCATAACAAAAAAGCTATGAGGATTATATGGCCATCGGGATCAAGGCGAAGAGAAATGAGTAACGAGACTTAAAATATTAGCAATAGATTCATTTGAAGAATGGAGCGCAAGATATGCTTTTTACATATTTGCAAGACTGGCCATAAATCAACCCCCGTTTTAAAAATGTTTGAAATCTTTTCACGGCACTGTTTTCATTTCCCAGGCAGTCTGAAATCAGACAAAACAGACACGTTCCACTAACAGCTGACTGGCAATGCAAAGTTTATGAATGTACTTACTGAATGCCTGCTTCACAGTCCTGACTGATTCACCTGCTCACACGACAGAACGCGAAACATTTCAGATACCTTCAGCAGATTACTATGTTATAGCCTAATGTTGATTGTTTAACTCTTGTCCAAGCCTTAAACTTTATTTCGAAACGGATGTCCCTAAAAGTAATGACAAATTGCAGTTTAGTTCCGTCAGAAGATTCTGTAACCACTCTGATTGATTCAGTGAGTTCATTCAATGACGACGTCTGTCAGTGACTTTTGAGCGCGTTGGAATCATTTGTTTGGAACTAGTGAATCGGAGCGCGCATCAAACTGCCACGTGATTTCAGTAAACGAGGCTTCAAAATGTTTCAGAACTTCAATGGTTCGCCGCTAGGGGCGATTTTGGATCGATATTATAAATTTGTAGAGTGAATTTTTATTACTTTTTCATGTAACTTTAATTTCATTTTAATTTAACATTTGTATAACAAAAAGGACGAGTTTTCTGCATGTTTGGGCTGAGTTTTCGCATTTACACCGTTCTGACCAGCAAGGCGTCACTTTGAGCGCTTCGAAAAAGCGAATCATTGTGCGAAGCAATTGGTTCAATTGATTCCTAGTCTCGGAAAGCTTCGTCTCGGAAATACTTTTTTTCCTTCTTTTTTTTATGAACAAGATCAAAATACATGTATATGACAAACATTATACATGATATCAGTGGTGGACAGTAACGGAGTAGTTTTACTTCGTTACTGTACTTAAGTAAATTGTTCAAGTATCTGTACTTTACTGGAGTAGTTTTATAAAAAATAAGATTTATCATGTAAACGTGACTGCTTTTCTTTGCTGTTAATTTGCTCCTCAGTCGGACTACACTTGTTGCGCTGAGTTACGCGTTCAACTCGCGAAGGTAATTCCTACGGTGGCCGAGAGAGCTCAACGTGCTGCAAATAGAAAAAAACACCTGCAAATTAAGAAAACAACTAAATCAATTTGGCAACACATGCTGCAAATAGAAAAAAAACACCTGCAAATTAAGAAAACAACTTAATCAATTTGACAACACACGTTGCAAATGCTCACAACACAACCAAATAAAGAAACGCGCTGCAAATAGAAAAAAAAACACCTGCAAATTAAGAAAACAACTAAATCAATTTGACAACACACACGCAGCAAATGCTTACAACACAACCAAATAAAGAAATGCACTGCAAATACGCACAACACAACCAAACAAAGAAGCGCGCTGCGAATAAAATTCTTTATTTAGTTGTGTTGTGAGCATTTGCAGCGCGTTTCTTTATTTGTTTGCGTTGTGAGCATTTGCAGCACCTGCTGTCAACCTGATGAAGATGTTTTCTTGATTTGCGGGTGCTTTTTCTATTTGCATGTGTTTTCTGAAGTTGCAGCGCGTTGAGCTCTCTCGGCCACCGTATTAATTCAATAGAAAAAAGTGATTTCTTACCATTATTTCACGGTACATTATCTTTTTATCTCATTAGATTTCGAACAGTAACTTACAGGAAACGATTGTGTGTATTGCCTCCTCAGAACTCTGCCCTCTTAAATAGAGTAAAATGAATGAGTGAAAATATTTAAGAGCTTCAAAAAATTAAAAAAAAAAAAGAAATAAATAGAAAGTCTGAAACTTGATGTTCTTCTATGTCAAAATAGATATTGTTATTTGTTATTTATTATTTTTTTGTTTGTTTAAAATGACTAACATTTAAAGGAAAATTAAAATGAAAACAAAATATTAGTATTACAAAAAAAATGTAATACTATTCTAAAGTTGAGAGATTTTTTTACACAAATTGTAATTTGACAAAAGTAGCATACTAGTGTTTGAAATGTTGTTTTTCATTTATAGCAGGCAGTATACAATGTATACTGTGCAGTATTCATGAAACTAGTTTTCATTATAAATGCATCCATTGTTTTATCACTGCAAATTACTCCCTTTTATTGCTGAACATGCAGACAGTTCAACCATTTTAAAGTAGCAAGTTATTACAATGAAGTGCAAATGTCACAGATATTTTATGTCAGGTTAAACCAAATTTGCCCCTGGCTGCAGGAATGTTCCCAGTTATCATCTGAAACTCCACAACAACTTCCTGCACTGATTTCTTCACAGTTCGCAAGATGATAACAAATCATCTTGTAATTTACTGTCTTGTTATTCCTTCCTGCTAAAGCTGTTCAGATTCAACCACTCACACATTGTTGGACCAAAATGATGGTACAGCTTGTGTTGTCCACTAACCCTTGAATTCTCGACATCAGGTGTGCTGTCTGTAGTACATAGTGGACCAAAATAGGTTTGGTCTCGAAAAACACACCTGGGTTGCAGCTGCTGTCATTCTTGACCCTTTCCTTCTCTGCCTTGCTTCTATAGGCCATGTCTTCCTTCATGATGAAAGTGTGCAATTCTTTTTTTCTTTTTTATATCAAATAAAGTTGATATAAAATAAAACTAACATTGTATGAAAAAATGAAACTTAAAAAACCTAAACAAATATTAGAAATATTGCCTTGGCAACTAACTGAATTAAACAGGTTTAAGTTGAAGAAAAATGACTAAAACTAAAACTGAAATAAAAATTAATTAAAGCTACATAGAAATATTAAATAAAAACTAATCAAAATAACAAATGCATATAACAAAATGACTAAAACGTAAAAATATAAAACTGAACTGAAACTGAAATATAAAAAGCTAATTCAAAATATTAATAAATACTATAATAGTATATAAATAATAGTAAAATAACACTGGTGAAGATAACCAAAGGTATTTTTAATATACAGTAGTTTACTATTCCCCTTCTTACCTTTATTTTTCTGTTGGTGTATTTTTGATTATGATTCTATTCATAGAATTATGATTCTTTTAACGTTTTAAAGCCTTCATTGTTTGCACTTTCATGTCTTTGTTTTCTGTCTCTTTGTCATGTCTGTTTATAGCACTTTTTTTTTTTAAGAGCGTGTACATACATAAACCTGCCTTGCCTCATTACTCTGTTTAATATCATTGCCTGTTTTTGATTTCAGTTTTAAATTTATGATGTGGTTCATGGAAAAAACAGCACTATTTTGTTACAATCCAACTAACTGTGCAATGACGTCATGATTTCCTGATATGCCGCTGCTTGATTTGATGTTTAGTGGTGAAGCATCTGTGTAATATTATGCCCTAATAACAATTTTGGTTCCTGTTCTGTGTTACTGATCGGTGCACTAACATTAGAATAGCAGCAGTGAGTGTTACGCTGAATAAAATTTGAAGTAACACCAAATCTATTATTATTATAAAAACATAACATTATACAAGTAATTTAGTGCAGGGCTAAGCTTTTTTCTTTAAGGTTATGTTCCACTAGACTTCAGAATGGCTACTTTTATTGCTCACCTAAACAGACACTGACATTAAAGGGGTCATATGATGCTGCTAAAAAGAACATTATTTGTGTATTTGGTGTAATGAAATGTGTTTATGCGGTTTAAAGTTTAAAAAAACGCATTATTTTCCACATACTGTACATTATTGGGAAAAAATGAAATTGCATCATATGACCCCTTTAAATTACAATTAGCCACATAACTGAATTAGGCATAACAGCTACCCACTATAAACACACAACACAGTCTATTGTCACATTTCCAGAAATCTGAAGCACTGACAGAAGTATTTTTAGTATTTTTATTTTTGTTAAACAGTGACCATTGCATAACTATTAAAAAACTAAACAAAAGGAAGGAAAAGTGTAATGCTATTTGTCTCCACGTGGTGGAGGGATTGGATTATGTTTAGCATCAGTATGATGGATTGGTGGACAGGATGCTACTAGACTGACCTTGATTTGGTTTGAGGGGATGGACAAAATGTAAAATATGAATAATTTAATCAGTTTTAATTGTTAAAATATTTGGTACAGAAGTATTCTTACACCTTTTAAATTAGCATGGATTATAAATAAAAACAAAGTAAAAGCTTTTAATTTTGTTTCAGTGGAACACACGAACTGTAAACAATCAGTATCCTTGAATAATACTGACAAAGTAAATAACTCTGCCCTAACCAGGCATATAAAGTAAACTTCTCATTGAAACAAGGATTCATGAGCATTTATGATAACGCAACAGGTCGGCAGAGGTCCAAATTTCTCTCATCAGATTGGGCATCACTAAAATAAAACTTGAGGCATCCCTTCTTCCGCTCAGCAGAACCAAGAGACAGAGCACTGATCCATTAACTTGAATGGGGCTGCTTTGTAAATATAAGTAAACTTCTTTGCAGACTCATATTTACATATATGCATGTACGTAAGTGATGTTTACTTGATACACTCTGTTTCAATATCAATATATCTCTAAGTCATTGTGATTTTCGTAATTATATTCCATATACAGATAGCTCTAGTTTTTATACAGATTATCTACCTTAGATTTAGCCTCACAGTAGTACAGACTACAGTGAACACCAACATCTTTAATAAAAATAGGGCCTTGTGTTTGCTCAGTACTACAGTGCAGCACTTAATTTTCCATCCAGGGTTTAAAAAAAACAAAACAAAACAAAAAAGGAAATCAAACAACTTAAAAATTATTATAGACATTCAGCCCCAAAATAAGGCCTGTGTGTATGGCTGAACCCGGCCAAATGCCCACACATGGAATGAATGGTTAGTTTTATTTGATCATCTATTTATATCAAGTACAAGCAAACTGTACAAGTACATGCAACATACAAGCTGGCCTACAGTTTGTGGAACTAACACACACTTATTGTAGTCTCTTTTTTTCTCATCTGTCTTGTTTTACAAAATGTGCATGCAACTTGGAACAGTTCCAGATTCATGCTGTTCCCCTTGTTGGTGGCATCTGTTCCCCTTGTTGGAACGTCTCACTGTCACATTCAAAATGCTCAGGGGGGATCTGTGAGATTGGTTTTATAATCAACTAAACTGAAAACTGATGACAAACAGCTAAAAATAGGAAGCTTCTGATTTTGGCCTCTTTTTTTGTATTAGTTTTAATCTCCAAAAGCTTGAACTTTTTCTCTTTTTGTGCTTGCATTAAAATAATGTAAACTCTAGTCGGGTAGAAATTTGAATATCAGAATGTACAGGTCCTTTACCAAACAGAATAGAATTAAAAATGCTTGGAAAGGCCTGTAAGATATGGTTTGTGATCGCGTGAAATCCGGGAATCAAATATGTTAGTGAGCTAATGCATCTAGTGACCGTTTCTGCAGTTTCCTGTCAGGGAACCTAAATGATTATGGCAGCTTCTTACAGTCCCGGTGAATCAAATACAAGTGGTTTTGTGTCTTCCATGAAGCTCGTATGACACAAATGTCAGAAAACATGAAGCATGTTTTCACATTCTACAAAGTGTGCCTATTTACCAAATCAACAGTAACGTGAAAAGGCAAAGCAGTCGGTAGCGACTGCTGTAAACAGACTTAAAAGGTTCTCAGGCGTCCCTGCCTTCTTAGACGCAAACGCACACTCACACACACACACACACACCGCAGTCACACAATCTGAGTCTGAGTTTGTGCCAGACCGGCACATGGCGGGGCCTTGGATGCAGCATCCGTGATGCAGAGAGGAAACTCTCTGAGCAGACTAAATTTTGACCTTTAACCCTCGACTTCTGGTCTTTCAGCAGAGGGACTTCCTGTAAGTGCAATATAGAGGAAGGGCAGTGCTGTCCTCTCACTCTCGCTAACTCTCAAACACACGTGAGAAAATAAATGTGCTGACTGACCAGAGCAGTCTAGGCTACCGGCGCCACTGTGAGCTTCGCTTCCTGTCAGATGAAGCAGGACCGCGTTTCGGCTGCCTCTCCCTTCCTTCTCTTTTTATTTGGGTTGAATCGTCATCTCGGCAACAAAACATGCAGTAAAGGAGCAGAGTGGATCAAAGGAAATCTCTACAACCCAAAGATCAAAAGTAAAAGAGAGAAGTGATTGTCAGGCTTCAGCAAAGCTTTGATCATGATTCTGTCCATCTGTCTCTTTATCTGCCGCTCTGGTTCTGATTGTTGCCTCCGGTCCTTGGTCCACTGGGTCGTGTGTTTTGTTTCGCCTCGCGCTCCCGTCTGTTCACTAGGACCTGATGCCCGGCGGCCCTGAAGAGTCCAGCGAGGTCTGGGAAGCGCGACGAGTGAGAGGAGCTAACGTTGGGTCGACCAGTGATGAAGGGGGAAACAGTCTGTACCAACTGATCACTGTGCTAGAAAGATCCAGCTCCTCTAAAAGAATCTGGGCGACTCCCATGAAACATTTGTGGTCCATGCGGCCGTAATCTCCCCAGACTATTACCTGAAGACACAATCAGTGGTCAGTGCGCACAAACGTTGGACTTTGGAGGCATATCGGGAACAAACAAATGAAATTCGCTTCCTACCTGGAGAACTTTACCCTGCGGACTTTCCTCAAACAGCAGCGATTGCTGATACAAAGGATCGAGCGTTTTTCGTGCAATCTTGGTTTTCTTTTTGGCTTTGCACGCTCCGTTTTCCAGCAAATAGACCTTGACATAGGGAGCTGTGAAGAGCAGACGTAGTGCTCAACTAGGGCTGTTCAGGCAGTTATTGTGCCTGGCGGTGGCACATGTCATATTTACAATTAGTACAATGTATAAATCATCAAATTTCCTAGCTGTAATCACTCCATTAAGAACATTTAAACACATGTTTCTGTTAGTCCAAGCACTATAAAAACTACAAATACACTACCGTTCAAAAGTCGGTAAGATTTTTTTATAGTGTTTGAAGTCTTGTATGCTCACCAATGCTGCATTTATTTGATCAAAAATACATTAAAAACAGTAATATTGTCAAATATTTTTTACAATTTACATTTTTTCTAAGTATTCCATTTTAATATATTCCAGTTTTCAGTGTAACATGATTCTTCAGATACCATTCTAATTGCTGATTTGCTGCTCAAGAAACATTTCTTATTATTATCAATGTTGAAAACAGTTGTGCTGCTTACATTTTTTTTGTGGAAAATCTTTAACATTTTTCTTGTGACAATTTCAGGATTCTTTGATAAATGGAATGTTCAAAAGAACAGCATTTATTTGAAATAGAAATCTTGTGTAACATGTCTTTACTGTCACTTTTGATCAATTTAATGCATCCTTGCTGAATGAAAGTATTCATTTCTATTAAAAAAAAAACTTACTGACCATTTTTATTGGTTCCTAATGCTTACATAGGAAAAAAAATCAATATACTTAAAACTGATTAATTTACTCATAACAATAACAATGTTTACACAATAAGTGGAAGACACAATGAATCCGTGATCTATATTCAGTATTATTCACTACTAATGAGAATTTTTTTTATGTAGTGTTGACACGCTCTCACCCGGCAGCGATTTGGAACCTGGTTTAGGCGTAAGACCACGGGCCCTGATAACCTCCACCTCTAGTTGCCCTTTCTTGTCCATCAGTCCAATCTGAACATCTCCTACAAAACAAAACAAAAAACAAATTCATTGCAGCAAATTCAACTTAGATAGACTTTAGTCCATACATATATGAAGATGTTTACTCACCCATAGCAGGCGTAGCAAGTGTTTGTCTACCCACCAACTGAGCAGGGCCAAGACCATCTAGGAAGTCACTGAACTGGCTGTCGGCCCCTAATCTCATCCCTGAGAAGATCAGACTGAGACACACACATACACAGGTTATCAGATAGACGAATGAATGAATGGATGGATAGATAGATATCATACTGTAAGGCAGCATTTCAAATACAAGTTACAGTGTTATCTTCAGCTGTTCTTAATACTTTGCTGTCATAAATCAATAGAAATTCAAAAATGAATTTCTTGAATCCTTTGTAGATACAAACATATGAAAACAAACAAAAACCTATAAAACAATTAGTTTATTTGGATGAAATCTACTATTCCAGAATGAGCCTACTGCCCTCATATAGAGTTCAAAAGCTAGTGAAACGCAGCCCATCTCCTCCAGCAGCAGACTTGTGCTGTGTATGGTATGGTATGTAAACCCTGTCTTGCGTTAAGGCCCCTCTTAATACACTCAATATTTCCTTTGAGACCAGCGCAATTTCCATGACCTAACTACTGCAGGAATGTCTGAGGAACGTGCCAGCCCGTGTCAAGCTACCATATGAACAGCCTTATGTGATTTCAGACTATTTAAAACATGTTCATGTAAAATAAGCCTTAAATCATGGAGTCGCAGAGTCACACTCTGTGGAGTGACACGGTGGCCAGGTCAACCGACCAACCGCCGCTCTGAAGCCGCAAAGGGAAGCGTGACTGCCGTTTCTGCGCAGCTACAGACCCTGCCAAGACCCCTCTTTGCAGATGATGGATATTTTAATTATTATAGGGGAGTACCGCTTGCCATCTGGCTCCAAAGATGGAGCTGAGAAAGTAGTGGACACAGCATTAGCTCTGTAAATCAGACTGTTCTCTATTAGCTTATCCTTATGGTTTTTCCAAATAAATCTAGATGAGAGAAGCTCATATGAACATGACACACAGCCTGTTGAGAGACCACTTATCTATGAGTGATGGGTTTGCAGCCAATGCATAAAAACACCAGAGACAAGACAAGTGTGAGTTGGGAAGCAGGTCAGCTTTGGGTAAAATAGCATAAACTACGAGTTACATTATACATCGTAATGCATACAGTACACTACCATTCAAAAGTTTTTTAATGAAGTCTTTTATGCTCAAGGCTGTGTTTATTTCATTAAAAACACAGTAATATAGTGAAAAATATTACAATTTAAATGAACTGTTTTCCATTTGAATATATTTTAAAATGTAATTTACTCCTTTGATGGCAAAGCTGAATTTTCAGCAGCCATTACTCCAGTCTTTAGTGTCACATGATCCTTCAGAAATCAATCTAATATACTGATTTGGTGCTCAAGAATCATTTCTTATAATTATCTGTTGAAACAGCTGTGCTGCTTAATACCTTTGTGGAAACCGTGATCATTTTATAAGGACCCTTTGATGAATATAAAGTTCAAAACAACATTTATTTGAAATATAAATCTTTTGTAACTTTATATAAACCTTTACTGTCACTTTTAATCAACTGAATGCATCCTTGCTAAAAGGAAGTATCAATTTCATTACCAAAAAACCCTTCCTGAGCCCAAACTCAATATATCACAATACATCACCATTTTATTATTGGATCATGACTGATATGCTTCAATTTTTGTCTAGTACCATGTCACATAAAAGCAGCTCTGACAGCAGCTCAACGTGGGTTTATGCAATAAATGATGGCCCTAGACAAACTGTAAGAAATAAACGAACAGATAAATAAATATTTATGGAAACACCTGAGGTATTGATGCAAAATTCCGAGGAAAAAAAACTGACTTATAAATATGTGGTTTAGAACTGCAAAGTTGTGAGTATGCAAAAAAGGGGTTTACACTGCTTTAGATACTAACTTGCCCTCAGAGCTATAACTGTTCATGCTGCCATCAGTGGACTCTCGGCTGGCTTGGCGAGCCATGACGTTGCGGGGATACTCCACTGCCATTCCCGTCTCCTGACTGCGCTGGATCTGACTGGATCCCTTTGCTTTCTTGTTGGCTGCTTCTGTGGATGGAAAAAAAAAAAAACAGTATTACCATTCACAGGGCTTTCATAACGGGGGCAAGGGAAAGAATCTGCGAGACCTACAAAACAGAAGCTTAAACTAAAAATATTAGTTCGGTCAAAAGGTTAAAATAATTAATCATCATAATTAAGATAATTGTGTTATTTTGTCTTGGGGATTTGAATGATTTCTAGATCAGTACAATGCCACTATAAATAGATAAAGTAGGATTCTATTGAAATATTGCAGGTCTAATACAAAAAATAAATAAATAAAAGGACATATTTGCTTTGATTTTTGCAAGGTTTTATATTCACGTGTGTGTGTGTGTGTGTGTGTGTGCCTGGGTGTTTAAATTTGTGTGCTATTCTTACAGCTGTCACTCAGGAGAAAATATTGCGATCTAAGATGAAGTTCTTCGCCCCTGATGAGTGTAACATCTCCTGCTGGACGTCATGGGGCACCATCCGTACTATTTATGGCCTTTTGATGGATTACAGATCCTTTGAAAATGTCAACCATGGAGGTGGCTCACAGAGGCACTGTCATGCCAGTTGTTTTGAGTAAAAATGTAGCAGAGAGATTTATCTTTTCACTCATCATGCTCTCTTTCATCAGGCCACCATCAGTGGCTTATTCTGACAAAACTTACAGAAAAAAATGCCCAGGGATTCTCATTAAAAGACGTGCATGGCTCTGATATTATTTGAGGAAACAGAAAAATACTGTCAGAGCACTAATCTACGGAATACAATACATTAAGATCATCTGTATGTTGAGGTTCACTGTTAAGATGGTATCGACAAAACAGCGTTGACTATTAAAAAATGTTTAATGGATAACGTTTTAAAACAGTAAGTAATCCTGGTAACATTTTATAAAAAGGTTCAATTTGTTAACATCAATTAATGCATTAGGTAAAATGAACTACCTACAACCAACTATCAATAACAACATTTTTTACAGCATTTATTAATCTAGGTTCATGATAATTCATTCACTACGATTCACCATTTTCAGGGTAAGATTTTTTTTTTAAACAGCATTCAAATAAATCCTGAAAAGAATCTATTCATCAAAGAATCTTGAAAAACGTCCACAAAAATAATAATGTAATTTTTTTTATTAAAAATAATTTTTCATCCATTAAGAATATTGAGCAGCACAACCATTTTTAATATTGATAATAAGAAAATTCAGCTTTGCCATGAAAGGAATAAATTATGTTTTAATATCAAATAAATGTAGCCTTGGAGAGTGTAAAAAAAATCGAAACAAAAAAAAAAAAAAAAAAAAATCGAAAAAAAAATTCTGACCAACATTAAAACTTTTATCCCTTTGCTTTCTTGTTGGCTGCTTCTGTGGATGGAAAAAAAAAAAAACAGTATTACCATTCACAGGGCTTTCATAACGGGGGCAAGGGAAAGAATCTGCAAGACCTACAAAACAGAAGCTTAAACTAAAAATATTAGTTCGGTCAAAAGGTTAAAATAATTAATCATCATAATTAAGATAATTGTGTTATTTTGTCTTGGGGATTTGAATGATTTCTAGATCAGTACAATGCCACTATAAATAGATAAAGTAGGATTCTATTGAAATATTGCAGGTCTAATACAAAAAATAAATAAATAAAAGGACATATTTGCTTTGATTTTTGCAAGGTTTTATATTCACGTGTGTGTGTGTGTGTGTGTGTGTGCCTGGGTGTTTAAATTTGTGTGCTATTCTTACAGCTGTCACTCAGGAGAAAATATTGCGATCTAAGATGAAGTTCTTCGCCCCTGATGAGTGTAACATCTCCTGCTTCGAAACAAAAAAAAAAAAAAATCGAAAAAAAAATTCTGACCAACATTAAAACTTTTGATTGGTAGAGTAAATATACTGTTAATTCCTGTTTATGCATTACATTAACTATGTTAATTTATACAATTTAAAAATGTATTAGTATACACATAAATTACCATGAACTAAAATTAGTAAATGCTTTAAAAGAATTGTTTGTTGTTTTTTCATAATACCTAATGTATTAAATCATGTATACAGATTTAGAAAGTGTTCTGGCAATCATATTTTTAGTTTTGGCTATGGTTGTGAATGGATGAGACTGGTGCAGTGGGCAGAGTGTGGAACAGCTGTTATAGAGCAGCGGAGCTCTTTAAAATGCTGATTTATTGCAGTTTTGCAACTCTTTTCTGATTTATCATCTGATGGGCCTTTTAAGATATTATCCAAGCGCTTGGCAGACAGTGGTGCCAAAAAAACTTCTTTTGCCATCCTTTTTGAATTTGTTTCTTTTTTCAGTAGTCCATTTATTAAACTATAAACAGACTGCTTAAAATATGAGATTTTAGAGGATATCAGATCCAACTTCAAAGGCATTTATCTACATTACATCTGATAGAAATTCAGGGTTGATCTGCACCTGACACAATGAACGTCTGCCAATGCTAACATGCTGCCATTCATATTTCCAGCCTGAGGTTTCAGCTCCCACACTTTAACAGAGACTGAAGACACATGCTACTTTAAGAGGTGAAACAGGGTAGAGAGAGACCTGATACACAGATCCATCAGACAAAGGTGACCCCGGAAAAAGAGGAGACACTGATAAGAGATAGCAATCTAAGTAAAGCAGGAAGACTGAAAAAAAGATGTCCAACAGTCTTGGCAAATGGTCTGAACTGATGGAAAGGATGGTTTTAAAGAAATTGCTCCTTAAAATTTGTCAGTCTTTATTTTGGAGACAATTCCCTACCGCTTTTGGCCCTGATGACACTAATGTCATTCAACTGAATATCTTTTCATTGTTACTCAAGATATAAAGCATTTCTGGTCATAATAACTGCTGATTTTAGCTTCTTCACCAGTAGAGGGCACCTCAGGCTACATTAACTGAGCCCATGAAACTTATCTGTGTCCTGTATCGCTTCTCTGCTTTTTAAAAGAGTATAAAAGTTATATTTAAAACTGAATTCTTGTAAGGTGTACACCACCACTGTCCACATGTGACTTTAACAGACAGTGATATCCAAAGACAAAAGTCCTCGTCAAAGGCCCTATATGGTATGTGAAGCAGCGAGCAGCATGTCTTGTATTTTAATATTTATGTTGTTAGGTACAATACCTGATCTATACCCCCGTCCAAGCTATATTCCATTGTTGCATAGAAATCTGAGCTTTTAACTGTAAAAAAAAAAAAAAAAAAACACACACACACACACACACACACACACACACAAAGGAAGTGACAAGGTGCAAGTATACGATTGGCTGGAAGTGTCTCACCTGTCTGACTGAGCTGAGAGGTGCTCCTGCTGCGGCGAGAGGGAATGCCAACGATGGCGACTACACGTGCGCTAAGGCTGGATCTGCGCTTTTTCCCTCCTGCTCCCAGTGTTCCCAGAGCGGTGTCTGACTGACTGCCGTCCGTACGCTCCAGAGTGTAGATTTCCCCACTAACACTTGTACTCTTCAGCATGGTGCGGCTGGATGGATGAATATGACGGCTGGTGTTGGGAGAAAACATAGCAAAGACTCTCAGTAACCCAAATGGAAAATGACTATTCTGACGTTAATACGACCTTCTGCACTTGATTATTGTGTGTGCTCTTTCTGCTTTTTTTCCACTTCCCTCAAAATGAGTTTACCGAAAATCTAAGAATGATGCTATCATGGAAAAGACCGAGACTGAGAATCATTTAAAGGGATAATGGGAAACAGATTTTTTTTCTTTGCCATTTTGATATAAAAGAGGATACTCTGATGAATAGACAATTCAAAATAACAGAATTTATTTGAAATAATAAAGACATTTCATATATTATTAAAAAAAAATGTGTCAAATTTTCATTAAATTTAATCCATTCTTGACTCCATAATAATCTGACCCTAAACTTATTAACAGAAGTTTATATGTACTCCACGTTCACAATGCAAATGTATGTAAATTAACCACTGTTACGTTGACATTAACTATTGACCACCATGTTTATAAATAAACAGGTGGAGGCACTATACAGATAAATCTGTGGTTTTATAACTCTATAGATTACATCAATTGTTATTGACCCTCATTACCACCAATATGCTCTCTAACATTCCCAGCAGAATTCAAGAAATGTTTCAACAGATTTTGATTTTACCAATGTACAATAAAGTCCCAACAAAGAGAAAACAAACAACATGAATGCATGACATTTAATACATGACATCACAAACAGAGTGTCAAAATACTATAAAAATTCACAGATAATGCAACAGTCCAGTGTGACGCTACACCATGCATCTCACCTAAAGTGACCCCTGGGTCGTTCTGATTGAATGGACATGTAGCTGGTGCTACTGATCCGCGAGGCACTGCTGGCGCGAGAGATGGCTGACACGTCACTGACATCACTGTCTGAGGACTTGTGGGACACATTGTCACAGCTCCTTCGCTGCTCCTTATAAAGCTGGTAGAATGAAATACACAAAAAATGAAAGCACACATAAGTTCTGAGCATTCTAGATTTTTAAAAACAGTTGGGATGGGACTATACGCTACCGCTCAAAAGGTTTGGGGTCAGTGCGATTTTATAGGTTACTTTTTAGCAATACTCTTATTCAGCAAGGATCCATTAAATTGATCAAAAGTGACAATAAATACATTTATGTTATAAAAGATTTATATTTAAAATAAACGCTGCTCTTCTGAACTTTATATTCATCAGTAATGATGCTGAAAATTCAGCTTTGCCATCACAGGAATAGATTACAGTTTAAAATATATTACAATTAGAAAACAATTATTTGAAATTGTAATATTTCACAATAACATTACAGTTTTTACTGTATTTTTGATCAAATGAATGCAGCCTTGTTGAGCTTACGACACTTCTCTCAAAAAAAATTAAATAAATAAAAATCTATTTTAATCTATCTATTGTATTGTAAAACGGCACTCACCTCTCGTTTATTCTTGAGCGTACTCTCCAGATCCTGGCTGGTACTGGATGGAGCTGGTGTTCGGAAGGTATGTACTTTCATTTGCCGCGTTCGCTCCTCTGAAGCAAGAGCTAATACATACATGATACACAACAATATGATGCTCATCATTTCATATTTTGCAGATTTACTCAAAGAACATTTGGAAAACTAACCAGTACAAGTCAGCAGACAACGACAGTACCTTGCTCTACACTGCTGCTTTTGGCGGGGACTTGGGGAAGCTGTCTGACCTTGCGTGTCGAAGAATTGGTGGCTGTTGATGAGGAGAATGCAGGGCTGGTGTGCGGCTGCACCCTGATGGAGGAGACAAAATGAGAGAGAGAGAAAGAAACAAAAAGAGCGATGGAAACTTTAGCTTATGATTTTATTTAGTACAAAGGTGGTCAATATCATCAACCAGTGTGGACCAAAATGCAGCAAGAAGTAGTACACATTTTCACTAAAAGGCCACCAAATCTTGATCGGACCCATGTCTGCATGATCAGGACACATTATTACTCACATCAGATTACGTATTATTGCTAAGAGTCATTAGGAAAGCAAAACAAGTACAAGAGTGGAGGGTGTGAAACCAATGGAAAAAAACAGTGGTAAACTGTGAAAGAGCGGCAAACACAGAAAGCTGTGGGTAGATAATGAGGACAGGTGGATTTTCAGTAAGAAAAGTGGCAACCACACAAAACATTTGAGAAAAGAGCAAAATCA